CCCCCCCCCCTGCCCCTCCCCCCCGCTGCTGCTGCTGCTGCTGCCGCCCGCGGCCCCGGCCCCGGTCGCGACCCCGGCCCCGGGCCCCCGCACCGACTGGGCAGCCTGCAAGAACATCTCCCGGGAGCTGTTGCAGCGGGTGGCGACCCTCAAGGAGCCGCACCAGGTCCTGGTGAGCGCAGGAGACTCGGGGGTCTGCGGGGGCCGGAGGGTGCAGGGCATCCCGGCAGGAGGGGTGCCACGTGGATGTGGGGTGCCAGGGGAGGGGGGGGACATGGGGACCCTGCTGACCCCCCTGCTGCCAGGAGGAGACACACCTGAGTGAGGAGGACCCCAAGAACTGGCCCCCCCGGATCCGCTGTAGCGACGCCTGCGACCCCTCCACGCTGGACACCAACAACACGGTACTGGGGGCCGCGGGGTGCTGGGGGGCTGTGGCAGGGCAGCCGGAGGGTGCCTGGGGGATATGCATGAGGGAGGGTTCAGGGATGCTGAGGGATGTGCCTGGGGTGCCCAGGGGTCCCAGGGATGCTGAGGGATGCTCTTGGGGTTCCCAGGCATCCCAGGGTGCTGGGGGATGTATGCAGGAATCCCATAGGTGCCCGGGGGGTCCCAAGGACGCTGAGGGATGCTCCCGGAGTTCCCAGGGGTGCCCGGGGGTCCCAAGGATGCTGAGGGATGCTCCTGGAGTTCCCAGGGGTGCCTGGGGGTCCCAGGGTGCCGGGGGATGTGTGGTGGGGATGCCCAGTCCCCCCGGCTCAGGCCCCACTCCCCGCAGCGCTGCCTGCGGCGGATCCTCCAGGGGCTGCAGCACTACCGGGACCTGCTGGGCTCTGACATCTTCACCACCCGCCCCCTGCCCTGGCTGCAGGCCGCACTGGACCAGCTGCTGGGCCTTGTCCAGGTGAGTGGCTCGGGGGGGGCGGGAGGGGGTGGCAGCCCCCAAGGAGCCTGTTCCCCCACTGCAGCCAGGGAAGCAGGCGCCCATCAGCTGCAGCTGCAGCTTCGGGCCCCCTAACCCCACTCTCCCCGCAGCAGGAGCACGGCCACCTCCCCCGGCACCCCATGGCCCCCAGCGAAGCCTGGGCCCACCCGCTGCTGCAGCGACTGGCACTCCAGCGGCTCCAGTCCTTCGCCACCATCATCAGCCGCATCTTCACCCACAGCGCCAGCCCCCGCTGAGGCTGGCCTGGCCGCAGCCCCCCCCAACTATTTATTCCCCTCCGCCCTGAGGGGCTATTTATGTGCGATGCTCCGTATTTATCTCGGGTATTTATAGATTTCTAATAAAGGCCTGAACGAGATGAGCGGCTCCCTGTGTACGGCGCAACCCGGGTCTGCCCACAGGCAGCACAGGCAGCTGGGGTAGGAAGAGGTTTATTTACAGGAGGGGGCCAGGGGGAGTTACTGGAAGTCATTGGCGTCGATGTGGAGCGGAGGGAAGTCGGCTGCAGCAGTGAAGAGGGAGCTCACGGTGGGCAGGGCTGCGTCCTCGGGCTGTGGCAGGAATGGGTCGTGGGAGTCCAGGAGCGCGGTGCCGCCTGCGGGACGAGGAGAGGTCAGTGCCGAGGGGACACCTCTGTTGTCGTCCCCCAGCCCCGACACTCACCTGCCAGCCTGGGGCCCAGCCCCTCCAGCCCCCCATTCATGACATCCAGCATGTCAGGCATGAGCTCCGCCACCTCCAGCGTCTCCAGCATCCCCGAGCCTGGCTTCAGCCCCTCCGTCAGTGACTGCAGAAGCTCCTGCACATCCGGGCTCCCGGGCAGTGGCTCCAGGTCCCTCAGCTCTGGTTGCAGTGTCCCCTGCCCCTCAGGGAGCAGCAGCGGCTGCACAGCTCCCAGCACTGGCTGCAGCAGCCCTGCATCCCCAACTCCCACTTGCTGCAGCATCCCCGTGTCCCCAGCCACCAGCTGCGGCTCCAGGGCCCCAGCTCCCGCTTGCTGTGTCCCCTGGTCCTTGGGTGCCACATGCTGCAGTATCCCCAGCCCTCCTTGCAGCACCTGCAGCGTCCCCAGACCCCCCGGTCCCACCTGCAGTGTCCCCTGGCCCTCGGGGACCAGCTGCAGCACCAACTGCGGCTCCAGGTCCCCAATCCCTGGCTGCAGCATCTCTGAGACCCCTGATCCCACCTGCTGTGGCCGTGGTGGTTCCAGGCCTTGGGGCCCTGGCTGCAGTGTCCCCGAGCCCCCGGGCTGCAGCATCCCCGGGCTCGCAGCCATGCCCTGCGCTGTCCCTGGGCTTGAGGACTGCAGCGTCCCCAGGTTCCCAGATGTGACATGCAGCATCCCCCTGTCCCTGGGCTGCAGTGTCCCTGAGGTCCCGGGCTGCAGTGGTGCCAGGCCACTGGGCTGCTGTGTCCCCAGGCCACCAGGCTGCAGCTGCAGCGTCTCCAGGTTTTCCGTGGCAGCCACCAACTCCTCTTCTGTCTGCCACGACTCATTTGCCTGCCTGCAGGGAGAGACGGCGGGTCAGGGTCAGGGTATGGGGACACGAGGCTGTGGGCAAGAGGGTCCCCCTTCCCACGGGGCCACAGAGGGACTGAGGCGTCTCCCTGCCTCACCTGGAGGACACACGGATGAGGCGCCGGTTCAGGTATTTCTTCTGCTCCGTGAGGTTCCCTGGGGACAGAGGAGAGATCAGAGGAGGTGGCAGGTGCTCCCCCTGCACCATGCCGCGCCGCGCCGTACCCTCCTGCCGCTGGCTGTAGTAGGGTCCGAAGGCCTCGTCGCGGGCGATGTCAGGGTACAGGAACTGGAGGGGGTTCTCGGGGATGTTCTCCTCCACCAGCAGCTGGTAGTCGCGGATGATGTCGGGCAGCGCCAGGGACGCTAGCTCGGCCGTGGTGTAGGGAACCACCGCACGGAAAGCGGGGGGCCCTGAGGGGTGGGGGGCAGCCAGAGTCAGCACCCAGGGCAGGCTTGAGGCCAGGGTGAGGGGCTGGACTCTGAGTGGGGAGTGGCGGGGGGATGCTCACCACTGGTAGGGTGCTCTACCCAAGTGCAGGTGACCCCCCCCAGGACACTCTCGCTGAACCGTATCAGGAACGTGCCCGTCCGCTTGCCCTTCAGCAGCTTCTTCTCTTGCTTTCGGCTCACGAAGCCCAGGATGAGCCTAGGGGAGGTACCGTCAGCCC